TCACCTCTGGAGCGAGCGGGTGACACCAGGGCCACCCCTCCCCTCGGGAGTCACCCCCGGGGACCTCGGCACGCCCCGCTGCAGCGGCACGCGGGGATTTGGGGCCGGGAAGGGATTTGGGGGCGCAGCTCCCAGCCCCGCGGGGTCTCTGCCCCCCGAGCCCATGGGATGCGATGGCATGTCCCGCAGGGGACACTCAGGGGACAGTGCCACCACCCCGGGGTGCTCGAGGCCGCCCGGGAGCAGCGCCCGGAGCTGTGGCTTCGCTGCCTGACCCCGAAACTGCACCTGCTGCACAGGGACCTCCCTGCCCCACAGAAACCCTACAGAGACCTCCCTGCCTCATAGATACCCTATAGGGACCTCTCTGCCCCACAGAAACCCTACAGAGACCCTCTGCCCCATAGATACCCTACAGGCACGCGGGGATTTGGGGCCGGGAAGGGATTTGGGGGCGCAGCTCCCAGCCCCGCGGGGTCTCTGCCCCCCGAGCCCATGGGATGCGATGGCATGTCCCGCAGGGGACACTCAGGGGACAGTGCCACCACCCCGGGGTGCCCGAGGCCGCGCGGGAGCAGCGCCTGACCCCGAAACTGCACCTGCTGCACAGGGACCTCCCTGCCCCACAGAAACCCTACAGAGACCTCCCTGCCTCATAGATACCCTATAGGGACCTCTCTGCCCCACAGAAACCCTACAGAGACCCTCTGCCCCATAGATACCCTATAGGGACCTCCCTACCCCATAGATACCCTATAAGGACCTCTCTGCCCCACAGAAACCCTATAAGGGATTTCTCTGTGGGTCCCTGTCCCATAGAGACCTCCCTGCCCCATAGAAAACCCTATAGGGACCTCTCTGCCCCATAGAGACCCCCCCCATCCTAAAGGGACACCCCTGCCCCATAAATCCTACAGAAGGACCCTCCTGTCCCACAAAGTCTCCTCTGCCCTATCGAGGGACCCCCCCGCCCCACAGGGTCCCTCTGGGGGTCCATCCCCCCGCGGTTCCCCTCTGGATTTGAGGGATTTCCCCCCAATTTCTTCTCTTCCCCGCAGGGTTTTCATCCCGGGCTCCCCCCCCCGCTCTCCCCGAGTGGATCCGGGAAAATCCCGGTGGTGAAATCTCGCCCAGAACCCCCCGGGACTCGAATTCTGGCGGGGAAAATTCTTTTTTTGTCACAATCGTGTTGAAAATGAAACGTTTGGCTGACAAACGCACCCTGGAGGGTTTTCCCTGGCACGGGAGGAAGGCTCACCATCCTCCTCAGCATCCCTCAGGGATTTGGGGATGCTCGAGACCCAGAGGGGGGGTCCAGGATCGGCTTTGATGTGAAACTGGAATTTAAAAAATGAGGGGTTTTATTCCCTTCCTCCTCCGTTAAAACGAATTTCTGCTCGATGCTCGAGACCCAGAGTGGGGGTCCAGGATCGGCTTTGATGTGAAACTGGAATTTAAAAAATGAGGGTTTTTATTCCCTTCCTCCGTTAAAAGGAATTTCTGCTTGCTCATTTACTGCCAGGCTTCAAAGCTGCCAGGGGGATTGGGGCATCCCATCCCATGGGGGAAGGAGGAGGAGGAGGAGGAGGAAGAGGAAGAGGCTGGTGTGGGATCATCCCGAGTTTAACTTCCCCCGGTTTCTCCCGGGCCATCTCATTTCCCCTAAAGTGCCGCATTTCCCGCTCAGACCCCTCCCCATGCTCCGCCCAGCCCTTGTCCCGCCTGGATCCCCCTCGGGTCCCACCTGGATCCCTCTCAGATCCCGCCTGGATCCCCCTCAGATCCCACCTGGATCCCCCTCAGGTCCCACCTCGGATCCCTCTCAGATCCTCCTGGATCCCCCTCTCAGATCCCGCCTGGATCCCCCTCAGATCCCTCAGTCCTCCTCTCAGATCCCACCTGGATCCCCTTTGGATCCCACCTGGATCACTCCCCATCCCAGCCCTGGATCCCCCTCGGGTCCCACTCGGATCCCTCTCAGATCCCGCCTGGATCCCCCTCTCAGATCCCGCCTGGATACCCCTCAGGTCCCACCTCGGATCCCTCTCAGATCCTCCTGGATCCCCCTCTCGGGTCCCACCTGGATCCCCCTCAGATTCCTCAGTCCTCCTCTCAGATCCCACCTAGATCCTCCTTGGATCCCACTTGGATCACTCCCCATCTCTGGACCCCGGGAAAGCAGAGGGACAGACAGACAGACAGACCCCGGGTTAAACCTCGGGATCCTCGGGGAAAAACGGGGAGCACGGTAGCCAAAAATCCCCCAAAGCGGAGCCGCCGCATCCCGGGCTGGGAAAAGCGGCTGGGCAGGGCTGAGGCAGCCGGGAGCGAGCCGGGAGCGCCGCAGGGATCCGGGACCCCCACCCTTGGAATGCCGCAAATGGATTTTAAGTGAAGGCGTGGCCGGGATGCAGCAGCGCCTCTCCATCCCTGCAATCCCGGCTCCGGGGGATCCCGATCTTAGCAGGAAAGGATTCCCGGGGTGTCCCAATCCATCCGTGGGGATACAGGATGGTCCTGCATGGCAAATCCTCCTCCTGGAGCAGCCCCCGGGCTGGAATAGCCCCAAAAACGACCCTGGGGTAAAAACCCAAACGTTCCTGGTGGTTTTTGTTTGAAGCGTGTGGAATAGCGTCACTGCCATATTTTCTGAAAAATCCCTTCGCCAGGATTTCTCTCCTGGGAAGCTGAGAAGCCTCAGAGAAAAATGACAACAGTAATTATCTGATTTGCTTCTCCTGCGTTTTGCTGCTGTGGAATGTGTTTGGACATTGTTTACCAACAAGTGCATGCTTGATTGGTTTCACCTCCTGAGAAGCTGAGAAGCCTCAGAGAAAAATGACAACAGTAATTATCTGATTTGCTTCTCCTGCGTTTTGCTGCTGTGGAATGTGTTTGGACATTGTTTACCAACAGGTGCATGCTTGATTGGTTTCAAGTTAATTGTTTTGACTTAATGACCACTCACGGTCGGGCTGTGTCGGACTCTGAGGAGTCAGTCACGAGTTTCCATCATCATTCTTGTTAAACCTTCTGATGTATCCTTTTCTCTGTATAGTTTAGTATAGTTTGGTACAGCATCCTTTTAATATAACATAACACCATAAAATAATCAATCAGCCTTCTGAGATCATGGAGTCAGATTCATCTCTTCCCTCGTCCTGGGGACCCTCACAAAACCACAGAACAGCCCCAAAAATGGCCCTGGGGTTAAAACCCCAAACGCTCCTGGTGGTTTTGTTCGTCGCTGCTCCGCCTGTGCCAGGAAAAGCCTGGAAAAGCTGCTGGAATGGCTGACCCATGCGCTGGAGCTTCCCGGGAGAGCTCACATCCCAGAATAACCCCCGGGACAACGAGGTGACAGCGCGGGGACATCTCGGCTCCCCCCGGGCAGCCGCAGGCCACAACAAATCCCGGGTTTTGGCTGGCTGGATTTCAGGAAGCAGCGGAGCGTGTCCCGGGATAAAACACACCCGCAGGGCTCGGCCGGCGCTGCTTTCCCCGGGGATTTCGGCAATAAAAGCTCCGCGGTTTGTCCTGGCTGGCTTGTCCTGCCAGCCCCTCCTGTGTCGCTGTCACCCGGGGCCTCCCGCTTGTCCCCGCGCTGCTCGCACCCCCGCTCTCCGCCGGGTTTTTGGGCAAGGAAAGGGATTTTGGGCGGCCAAACTGGAATTCTGGCTCCCTGCGCCCATTCCCACCCATTCCAGGGTGGGAATTCTTGAGCGTCACCTTCGTGCGCTGCTCCTGAGCCTCTTTCCCGGGATTTTGGAGCTTTGGGGTCCCACCGGTGGAGCTGGGAGTGGGAAGAGCTCCGAGTCCGTGCGCTGCACCCAAAATTCCCCCCGGGCTCTGGGCTCCTCGGCGTTCCCACCCCACGGGGCTGCCAAAATTCCCGCTCCCGGTTCGGGAATGGCCCGTTCCCGGCTCCTGCCTCCTGCCTTCCCGCACGCCGCGGGTGCCAGCGGGAATTCTGTGCCAAGGAGGGATGGAGGCAGGGAAAGGTTTCGCTTTCGGCTGCCAAACCTCGCCCCCGTGAGGAGCGGGGACGGTCGGGTCCCCTCAGTGCCACCCCCGTGTCCCCAGCGCTGTGCGTCACTGCAGTCCCGAGGTGCAGCTCATTCACCCATCCCGAAATATTTCCCCGGCAGGAGCATCGGGAATAGCCGGGCACGGACCGGGACGAGCCCCGAGCCGGCTCTGCCTTTCTGCCGGGGCCGCTTGGAGTGGGAAGAGCTCCGAGTCCGTGCGCTGCACCCAAAATTACCCCCGGGCTCTGGGCTCCTCGGCGTTCCCACCCCACTGGGCTGCCAAAATTCCAGCTCCCGGCTCGGGAATGGCCCGTTCCCGGCTCCTGCCTCCTGCCTTCCCGCACGCCGCGGGTGCCAGCGGGAATTCTGTGCCAAGGAGGGATGGAGGCAGGGAAAGGTTTCGCTTTCGGCTGCCAAACCTCGCCCCCGTGAGGAGCGGGGACGGTCGGGTCCCCTCAGTGCCACCCCCGTGTCCCCAGCGCTGTGCGTCACTGCAGTCCCGAGGTGCAGCTCATTCACCCATCCCGAAATATTTCCCCGGCAGGAGCATCGGGAATAGCCGGGCACGGACCGGGACGAGCCCCGAGCCGGCCCTGCCTTGCTGCTGGAGGCTTCGTTCGCTTCTGCCTCTTTTAGCACCTTCCAAAATCCTGAATTACCGTTCCTCGCCTCCCCCCAGCTCCAGCCCACCCCTTTTTCCCTCACAGCACCGACCACCAGCTCGCTTTTCCCAAAAATCCCGAGCATCCCAGGCAGGAGGAGCGGGGATGGCTCCACACCACGAACCCCGCCGCTATTCCCTCCCCTCCCTGCCCAGGGCTGCTGCTCACTCCCTCCTTTGGGATTTCCAGCGGGAATTTGCTGCTGGCCCGAAACAGGAGCAGCAAACCCGGAGCTGGAGAGAGCAGGACACGGAAAAGGTCAGGGGAAATCCCGGCCCCATCATTCCCAGTGAGAACCGCGGCGCTCTCCTGCCTTTCTTCCACTCTTTATTCCAACCATCCGCTTTGGTTACAGGTCTGAAAGGGTTGGGGGGATTTTTTTTGGTAGCTGTTGTGGTGGGTTTTTAAAATTTTCCTCTCCTGTGATCCGCCCCCGCCTGCTGTAATATTATAAAATCCTACAAGACAGAAACGAGCAGTCGATATAATAAATATCTGTTAGTCCACAAAGTTAAAGTGCTTTGAGAAGGGCTGTGAGAAGCTCTGTCCTGGGCTGGGCATGGGGAACATCTCGGGGATGTAGTGCAGTAGGAAGCTCTGGCCCGCTGCCCGTGGCCCCTCGGGCTCTCCCGAGCCGGGACAGGCATTGGAAGCACGGCAAGGGTGTCCCCTGGGTGTCCCCGCCCAGGGCCGGGCCGCTCCGGGCTGGGCAAGGTTGGGACAAGGAGCGGGATCCCCCTTTGCAGGGAGAAAATCCCGATTTTCACAGTTTAGTCTCGCTCCGAGACCTCCGAAAGCGCGGGGGAAGCGAAGGCCGGGCCTGCCCCGGGGGACAGGGACAGAGGCGGGGACAGGCGCAGCCCCCCCGCTGCCCTGAGATCCGCGGCCGCTTTCCCTGAGGACGCCCGGGACAGGGTGGGAGCGGGCTCGGCCCCGCTGCGATGCCCCTCAGCTGCCTGCAGAGGATTTGTGCGTCTCCAGCGTCTCCCCAGCGCCCCCCGCTCCGCTCCGGGCTCTGCTCCCACCTCCCCTTCCCGTCCCCACACCCCAAATCCAGTCACCTTCCGAGGCTTTTCCATGCAAATTCCCACGCGGCGGCGCCGATTCCCGACCTCCCTCCCACACCAAAAAACAACGAACCGAGCCCCCCTCAGGCCTCCGAGCCCCCCGGAGCAGGAGGGGACTCGCCGGGGGTGTCCCAGCCGCTGCCAACCCCAGCATCACCCCCCAAAACCTCGGGAGGCAGCGGCCCCCGCCGGCATCCCGCAGTCCGGAGGCCGAGGGCCGGCTCCTCCTCCTCCTCATCTTCATCACATGCAAGGAGCGGCCTCGCCCTGAGCATCAGCGCATGCATGGCTGGCCAGCGGGGCCGCCACCGTGTCACACCCTCCTCCCGCGGCTCCGCCAGCGAGGCCGGCCGTGAGGAAGGCGAGCGGCTCCAGGTCCACGGAGCCGCAGAAACCACCGCGGCAGCGGGCAGGGCGAGCGGGACGGCGTCAGTGGAAGAGCTCGGCCAGGGCCACCACGAGCAGCAGCTGGAGCCACGAGGCCAGCGTGGCCGGAGCGCGGCCGCGCTGCCACAGGAAGCGCTGGCGGTCCAGCAGGCGCTCCTTGACCAGCGCCTGGCGGAAGCCGTCCTCCTCGGACACGCAGACGTAGTGGCCGTAGTGCTCGCGCCGCACGCTGGGGATGAAGTGGAAGCAGTCGTGCTGCGGGTGCGAGGTGTTGCAGCTCTTGATGAGCACGTCCTCGTGGTACCAGTTGTAGGTGGCGTAGTGGGACTCGATGGAGCAGTTGAGGTAGTAGCGGGACAGGGGCATCACCGAGATGTTCCGGAAGTCGTCTGCGGGGACACGGGGGTGAGGTTGAGTTAGTTGGGAGCAGTCTGGGTTTTAGTGGGGTGGAGGAAGCCTCAGAGGTGGCTTCTGAGAGAGAACTCCTTGAAACTTCTGGTCTGCCCTGTTATTCCTGCTCCCATGTTTCTGCCTGAGAGCCCCTTAATTTCAAAATTATATTAATAAATTGGAGGGATGGGGCTTTCCATTTTCCATTTCAGGGGAGGCTCCTGCCTTCCTTAGCAGACACCTGGCTTTCAAACCAAGACAGACGACCTGTCCAGACTCATCAAAACCCATCCAAATCCCTCCAAACCCATCAAAACTCATCCAAACCCGTCCAAACCCATCCAAACCAACCCAAACCCATCCAAACTCACCCAAATTCATCCAAACCCATCCAAGCCTGTCCAAACTCATCCAAACCTGCCCAAACCTATCCAAACCCATCCAAACTCATCCAAACCCTCCCAAACCCATCCAAACCTATCCAAACCCTCCCAAACACATCCAAACTCGTCCAAACCCATCCAAACTCATCCAAATCCCTCCAAACCCATCCAAACCCATCCAAACCCATCCAAAGCCTGGAGAATCCAACAATTCCTTCCCCAGCTACAACATCTCCATGTACCTTCCTTGACATCACCCCTCTGGCAGCTTCCTCGCCATGAGTCCAAGTTCAGGTTCTGGAGCACATCCCTGGGGGATGGGAATGGGAATAAGCACCAAGAGAATTTTGGGAAGCGGCAGTTCAGGGATGTGAATCCGCCACATCAGTGGGATGAGCGGGAATCTCCCCCTCCCATCTCAATTTCAGAAGGTTGGAGATGACCAATGTGAGACCCAGCAGCAAGGAGAGGGGATGGGTGCCCAAAACCCTTCAATAGAGGGATGGATCGACACAGAACATTCACAGTTTTGGGAAAATGTGTTTGGGTGCCCAAAACCCTTCAAGGGAGTGATGAATCTGCGCAGAGCACCCCACAATTTCTGGGAGAGGGGTGGGGTGCCCAAAACCCTTCAAGGGACAGATGGATCCATACAGAGCACCCCAAACTCTTGGGGAGAGGGATTGGGTGCCCAAAACCATCTAAGGGAGGGAGGGATCTATGGAGAGAACCCCAAAGTTTCAGGGAGAAGAGCTGGGTGCCCAAAACCCTTCAAGGGAGGGATGGATCCACACAGAGCACCCCAAACCTTTGCAGACAGCGCATCCACCCCAAAGCCACTCGCGCACTCAGCCCAGGAGGGGAATGCTGGGGGTGTGGGTGTTTTTCAGGTGGGATTGGGGTGGGATTGGGGTGGGAGTGGCCCCCACGCACCGGCTGAGGGCCAGCGAGAGGCAGGAGCCGTTGGCCCAGCCGCAGTAGGGGTCCCTGGCCAGCACGCAGCTGTGGCAGTTGTTGCGGTAGGCGCCGCACATGTCCATGGGCAGCTCCAGGACGCGGCTGCTGGAGCCCACGTAGAGCACGGCCTGCCGGAGGAGAGCACAGGAACTGTCATTCCGTGTCCCAGGGAAGGTCAGGAAGGAGCTGGAGCTGCTGGAGGGAGGCCAAGGAGATGTGCCCCTGGATCCCTGGAAGTGCCCAAGGCCAGGGTGGCTACTGGAGCTTGGAGCAGCCACAGCTGCTGGGATAGTGGAAGGTGGGACTGGATGATCATTAAAGGTCATAGGGTGATCATTAAAGTGATCACTGAAGGTCATAGAGTCATCATAGGATGGTCATTAAAGGTCCCTTCCAACCCAAATAGTTCCATGACTTCACTCCCAGACCCTGGGGCTGGCACTGACCCATCCATACCTCACCCACCCCGTTCTCCCACCCCCAGAGCAGGGACCCACCCTGGCGTGGTCCAGGATCATGGCCTGGATGGGATCCTTGTTGGGGAACACCTGGATCTCCACGATGTTCTGCACCCCGTCTGGCAGCTCCACCACCTTGTGGATGGACCCCTTGTCTGGGGAGAGAGAGGGCACAGCCCTGGTGAGGCACCCTGAGAGTGGTGACGGTGCCAGGAGGTGCCTGCCTGCACCCGACACCCAGCGAGGGCAGGAGCAGCACCCCGAGGGAACTGGGCTGGGAATCCTCGTGCTTCCCCCTTCCCAAAGGGATCCCTTCTCCCCCCTCAGCCAGGGGGAGGGGAAGCCCAGCTCATGCAGGACCTCCTAGGTGACTCCATGTCCATCCCACAGCCCTTCCTGTTGGATCAGGCTGCCCAGGGGGACCCTGCTGGGCATTGGCTGCATTTAGACCCAGGATCCTGCAAATCCTCCATTGCTCTGTCCCTCTGTCTCTCTGTTTCACCCTATTTCAACTCTATTGCTCTGTTTCTCTCTCTATTTCTTTGTTTCTCTCTAACTCTGTTTCTCTGTTCCTGTATTTCTCTGTTTCTCTCCATTTATTGCTCTGTTTCTCTTTCTATTTCTCTGTTTCTCTTTAACTGTGTTTCTGTTTCTCTATCTCTTGCTCTGTTTCTCTATTTCTGTATTTCTCAGTTTCTCTCTAACTGTCTCTATTTCCCTGTTTCTAACTCTCTTGCTCAGTTTCTCTTTATTTCTCTCTATTTCTCTCTAACTGTAAAATCACAAACCCATCACTCGTGGGCCCCAATCCAACCCCAGCCACCCACTGAGAGCCGGCTGCACCTTCTCCATCACAAAACCAGGATTTTAAACCCCTGCAGGTCCCTCCACGAGTGCCAGGGAACACATCCCACGGATGGGAGGGACCAGGACAGCTCGGGAAGCACCAAAAAACGACGGAGCTGCTCTTTGGGGAAGGATTTCTGCCCCCCAGCACGAACCGTGCCCGCCTCCCCCGTGCCTGGGACGCTGCCCGGAGCCCGGCTGTGCCCACACAGCCAGCCTGGCAGCGATCAGCTGTTCCCGAAATTTGGCAGCTCGCTGCTGCCTGACGAGCATATGCCAGGCTGGGAAGGCAGCCCTGCCCGCGGGGAAGGTCCCCTGGCTCTGTCCCCGCACCTGTGGCCAGGTAGAGGACGTTGTAGCGCTGCCCGTCGCCCGCGGCCACCTCGTGCACGCCGATTTTCTGGTAGCGGTGCTTGTTGTGGAACAGGGGGCTCCTGGAGGGGGACAGCGGCTCCACCCGCTCCTCCACCTCGGGGTGGCTGTCCGCGATCTTGAAGGTCTCGCTCGGCGTGTGCTGCCCCGAGGGGACGCACTGCGGCAGAGGGGACAGAAGGGGACAAAAGGCACCGGAGTCAGAGGCGGGTGGAGCGCTGAGGACGGCGGGGGAAGGGGACAGCTCTGCCCCGCGGGTGTTGTCACTGTGCCCGTGCCAGGTGCCCTCTGAGATCCTCTGTCCCCGTGCTTTCCATGAAGGGATCGGACCTTTTCCAGCCTCCCTCCGTTCCCAGCTCCTCCCTCGCTCCGTGTCCCCTCCCCGGGCCTCCCGCGGGGCAGCTCCTGTCCCTCCCTCACCTGGCCAGGTTTGACCTCCGGGGTGGGGCCGTTGTAGCCTTTGAGCCGCGATGTCCTGAACACGTTGTCGATGTCCCCGAAGGAGTAGACGCAGACGGCAGAGCTTCCCCTGAGGGGACAACGACAGGGTCAGGGGGGACACCGGGCTGTGCCCATCGCCGTGCTCACTCCAGCTGTTTTCCAGAGGGAAAAGAGGGCTGGAAGGGAGGATTTGGGCCAGGGCCCCTCACCAGGTGTTGGTGAAGAGCCCGTAGACCTTGGAGCGCCGCCAGTCGCCCGCAGGGACGAAGAAGACGTCCTGCAGCCAGTTGAAGTTGCCCTTGGTGACGGGGTCCACGCAGATCAGGGTGGCCTTGAGGAACGTGGTCCACTTGGAGGCTGAGAGGGAGCTGGTTCCTCCCCTGTCCTCCTGGGGGCAGGGACAGCGAGGAGGGAGTCAGGGTTTGGGGGAAACACCCCAAAATGCCCATCCTGATGGGGAACCATGGGATGCTGCCACAATCCTGTTCCTGCCATCCCAGTGAGACAGAGCGGGGAATTCTCTCCCTTATGAGGCCAAAGGACGAGGCAGTGCCCCACTCAGAGGAGCCAAACCAAGACTGGGTAAGCCCAGGGGAGCTGGCACATCCCCTCTCCCCTCTGGAGCTGTCCTGGCTGCCACTCCAGCCTGTCCCCAAGGTACCTTACACAGCTGGGCCACCCGTGAGATGTTCCGAGGCGCCTCGGGGCTCTTGTCCGGGTTGTCCTCGCGGAAGAAGTAATAAATCTTGTCCTGGTGAGGCTCCTCATGCCTCAGCGTGGTGGCTTTGACAAACTGAGGGTCTGGGGAGACAAGGGACAGAGCTTGGACCTGATTTCATCTGGGGAGCCAGCGGTGGGGACAGGGCAGGGAGTGGGACATGGCTGTGGCCCAGGGAAAGGACAGATCTCAGCCCAGGCTGCCCCTCCTTGGGAAGGCTGAGCTAGAACTGAGATGAGACTGAGCTCAAGAATAAAGCAGGGATATATTACAAGGATCTCCTCAATGGATCCACCTTGGGCAGCACAAGAGCCCAGCCAGGGCTACATCCAAGATAAACCAAAATGGACAACCAAGGTCTCTCACTTTTATAAGTTCTGCTCCATTTGCATATTGCAGTTAATTGTCCAATTACAGTTTTAGATTATGAAATCCCATCCTTCTTGTTTTTCTATCTTCATTCCACTGTTTTTTATGCCATTGGGGCTGAGATTTGGATCATTTGTCCTTGGTGCCCAGCTAGAGCAGGAATTGTTTTGTCTCCCTGCTCTGTGCAGAGAGCTCACCATCCCCTAACACGAAGCCCAGACCCACACATTAAATCTGAAAAGTATATAAGCTAAACCTGAGGCATCGGTGCCACCTTCGCAGTGCCTCCTGCCTGACTGCATGGACTCATTCCCTGCAGGGAACAACCCCCTGGAGCCTGGGGAAGCCTTGGCAGCCACAGAACCCCAAGTCCCTCCTGGCTCTGGGAGCTATTGTGGGAAGGAAGGCTCCCTAAGGAGGAGCAATCGTGCTGTGTGTTGGGAAAACTCCGTAACACCATTCCTGTTAATGCACCCCTGGGTCGTTCTGAGATCCTGAGCTGATAGTTTCCATGGCAGGGAATCTCCAGGGATCAGAGTCTTGCTGTTCCCACAGCAGGGAATGTCCTGGGATCAAAGCCCTGCTATTCCCATGTCAGGGAATGTCCCAGGATCATGCTGGCAGCCCTGGGGCTCTCAGGTCTGGTTTGGTTTCCCCCTCCCTGTTTTATCCCGCTGCCATTTTAGTTCTGTTTTTTATCTCAATAATCCCCCCCGGAAGCCACCACAGCAGCCACCACAAGCCCAGGGAAGTGGAGCAGGGTCCTTTCCCCATGTCCCCTCCCTGTCCCTGCCCTGGGTTTGGCCCTGGCTGAGGTTTGCCCAGGGCCCCTGCCCGCACTGGAAGTTGCCCAACGCTGTGGGGCAGCTGCCGGGCATTTTGCACAACCCAATTTCCTTCCACCCTGCAGGAGGGACTCGCCAGCCTCATTTCCCCATGCCCCAAGGACAGGGAAGTCACTTTTGTGCTGGTTTGGGACAGCGGTCAGGGGAAGCAGACAGCTGGCTCCCTCCTGGCGGGCACTGAGGGCACCCGATGTGTCGGATTAAGCTTAGGGGGCACAGCTGCACCACAAACTGGAGTTTGTGTACACAGCGTGATGGAGAGCAACTCTTAACTGTGGATCACCCTCAGGACAAAATTCCATTGCCAAAGAACCAAGAATTTCCGATTCTTGAGGTTCAGAAGGTGCTTTAAGAAGATCAGGGACCTAATGACACCAATTAGTTATGGGATTGGTATCGTTGGCAGCCTCACACCAATAATTGCCACCATTGGGTATTGGCCACTCCTTGGCTGGCACTGGCACATCAAACAGGTCACAAAGGGTTTGTTTGGGATCAAATTGGTCAAACATTTGGTGTCTGAGCCTGCAGACTTGGCTAAAGCAACCCAAACACTCCTTTTTGATGGATCTACAGCCTTATCTGCACTGCAAAAGCAAGCAAAGCAAAACCAACGAGTTTTGCTTAATCCGACACTGATGAGCCCCCACAAGAAGCTCTGGAGCTTCTCCTGTCCCCTGCCAGCTGTGGGGGGGCAGAGTCCAGTGGGGATCCCCCCAGTGGGAATGTCCCCCTGCCGGGATTGTCCCCCCCGTGGGAATGTCCTCACTCACTCTGCATCACAGTGTCACTGGTGTAGAGCTCTCCCCCACCCCTCACACGGCGGAATCGAGGGATCTTCCCATTCTGCTGGCTCTTCTTGATGGTGGAGTAGATGTCTTGGCCTGTGGGACACAAGGGAGTGGGAAGAGGATGAGGAGAGAAAGCAGCCAGGACTTCCTGGGCATCACAGGGATGGTGGGTGTGGAACAGGAATCCCAGTCCTGACACCCAGTCCTTGAAGGGTGACAGGGACAGATTCTTGGAAGGATCCTCATCTGTCCCCACAGCAGGCCTGGAGCTGTGGGATCACTGCAGACCCTCCTTCCAAGGTCCACCCCAACCCAAAGCATTCCTGATTCAGGTCCCTCCTACCCAGGTCCCTCCTGACCCAAAGCATTCCTGATTCAGGTCCCTCCTCCCGAGGTTGCTCCCTACCCAAAACATTCCTAATTTAGGTCCCTCCTTCCCAGGTCCCTTCTGACCCAAAGCATTCCCAAAGCATTCCTGATTCAGGTCCCTCCTTCCTAGGTCCCTCCCCACCCAAAGCATTCCTGATTCAGGTTCCTCCCCCCCCAAAGCATTCCTGATTCAGGCCCTCCTGACCCAAGGCATTCCTGATTTTCAGTGTTCCTCCCAAACAGAGCCCCCATCCCACGCCCCTGTGGGAATCTCCAACCTCTGTCCCAAAGGGATGTGCATTTCCATGCAAAACATGAGGAGAGCCAAAGGGACAAAGCCCTTGGAGCAGCCTCAGGGAGTTGCTGTTTGTCCCAGGAAGGCTTCAAGCATAACAAAACCACGGGAAAAAAGGAAAATGTGAAAATATCCCACATACCATCAACAACGACGAGGGTGTTGGAGTCAGGGGTGAAGGGAGCGATCCCTCTCCCATCCCAAGGCGAGCTCTCCTTCCTCTGTGTCTGGGGAAGGACAAAAGGGATCCTGAGTGGGGTCAGGCCAGGTTTTCCCCACCCAGGATGGGGGAAGGGTCCGTACCACGTTCCAGCAGGTGGGAGCGCAGGCGCCGGTCCCGCACACCAAGAGCCCGTCCCCGTACTGCTCCACCAGGGTCAGGTAATTCCGGCTGTCCTCCTGCCAGGGGAGAGGAGCCTGCCAATGGCACAGAGCCCCCAGCACCACACCAGTCCCCAGATCCTTCCTGGGTTTTCCCAGATCTCCTCGTCCAGAGGGAGCTCATGAGGAGCTCGCACAGCTCATTCAACCAAATACTCCAGCCCTCCCCATCCCACTGTTCCCTCTTCAACCCAAATCCTCCCCATCCCATTATTCCTTCAACCCAAATCTTCCCCATCCTGCTGTTCCCTCCTCAACCCAAATCCTCCAGCCCATGCCACCCCACTGTTCCCTCACAGGTGGGACCTACCAGATTCCCAGAGGACACGCACTGGCCTTCATTTTTCACCGGGAACTCTTCCTAGGATAAGAGAGGGAAACGTTTCCATTCCTGCTCTCCCAATGCCACCAGGCGTGGGCTCAGTGCATCACAAGGTCACCTAAACCCACGAAGTGTCCTTGTTCCCCACCCCTGGTGCCTGAAATCCCGCAGGAAGGCCGGGCTGGATGCCAGTGACGGAATCTGAGCATTGCTGCTCTCAATTCAGAAAGGATCCCTGGCTGGAAATATCCAGCGTGGATCCAGAAAGGATCCCTGACTGAAAAAATCCAGGGTGGATCCAGAAAGTATCACTGTCTGGAAATATTTGGGATGGATCCAGAAAGGGTCTAAAGCTGGAAACATCCAGGGTGGATCCAAAAAGGATCCCCAGGCTGGAAACATTTGGGATGGATCCAGAAAGGATCGCTGGATGGGGATATCCAGGATGGATCCAGAAAGGATCCCCAACAGGAAATATCCAGGATAGATCCAGAAAGGATCCCTGGCTGGAAATACCTGGGATGGATCCACAAAGGATCCCTGGTTAGGAAGATCCAGCATGCATCCAGAAAATATCCCCAGCTGGAAATATCCAGCATGGATCCAGAAAGGACCCCAGCCTGGAAATGTCCAGGATGAATCCAGGAAAGATCCCTGGCTGGAAACACCCTCTGTGCGGAGAAGTGAGAGCCTCAAAGGGATCCCACCCAAGGTAAAACCCACCTGTGGACAACACGGGAGATTTAACCCTAATCCTAACCCTAACCCTAAACCTAACCCTCATGCTAGCCCCAAACCTAACCCCGACCCCAGCCCTAACCCTAACCCATTCTTTCCTGCTGGGTTTTTGTTCCCTGGCAGGATGGAGCTGGCTGGGAAGAGACCAGGCTCATCCAGGCCCGGAATGATGGCCAGGAGATGGATCCCGGAGACTTTTTGTGGGGTTTTGCTGCCAAACCGGTTAGCGGCGCCTCCTCACCGTGTAGTTCTCACGCGTTGCAAAGTCGTAGTAGTAGAGCCTCCCCTCGCCCCCGACGTAGATGGAGGAGGTGTTTTCCTGGTGGAAGAACACCGGAAACCTCTCCCTCCGTGGGAACACATACTCCTTGGCACCTGGGAAGGGCACACACCTCAGGGAGCTGCTCTGGGGGCACCCGCGGATCCCATCCCTGCCCGTGCCCTTGTCTGTCCTTCAGGAGGAAAGGAAGAACCTGCCCAGGAGGATGGACAGGGTTTGGATCTCCAGGAGGGATGGACAGGGTTGGGACCCCAGGAGGGATGGACAGGGTTTGGATCTCCAGGAGGGATGGACAGGGTTTGGATCTCAGGAGGATGGACAGGGTTTGGATCTCCAGGAGGATGGACAGGGTTGGGATCCCAGGAGGGATGGACAGGGTTTGGATCTCAGGAGGATGGACAGGGTTTGGATCTCCAGGAGGATGGACAGGGTGTGGATCCCAGGCCAGAGCCCAGGTATGACAGGAGAAACATTCACCCAAAGCCACCACCCCCAGGCTCCGTGTCCCAGACAGGAACAAAAAGTGGCAGCCAGCCCTCAGATGTCCCAGCTGGCAGCAGATCCGTCTGTCTGCCCCTCTGCCCTTCCTCTTTCACATCCCACCTTCTCCAGCCCCCCTTCCCTACAAACCCGCTCCATTCCCGCTGCGTGTCCAGCTGGGCTGGGCGAGGCCGGCCCTGCTCCTCCCCTGGGATCCCAAAAACCGAGGTGTTCCCGGGGATCGCTCCGGGGCTCAGGGCTGCCCTCTGCCCGGCGCTCCGAGCTCGCCATTCCCGCTTTTCCTTTTCCCAAAGACAGCGGCCTCTGCCCTGGGCAGCGCTCCCAGCGCTCGGCCAAAGGCCGGGAGCGCTGCTGGAGCTGGCAGCCGGCACCGCCGGGCAATTAATCAGCGGCGCGTGGCTCTTAATTGCCAGGGCTGGCACTCGGCACTGCCCAGCCCGGCTCTCCCTCTGCCCCGCTCAGCAAGAGGCACCCCGGAGGTCACCGGGGCGCTGAATTCCCGCTGGGTGCGGGGGGTTATTCCCACCTCCTGCGGGTCCCTCATCCCTTAAAACAAGCAGAGTTTTCTCAGCAGGGCTGGAGAAGCTGCCAGAACCGCCCAGGTTCAATTTGGGGACACAAGGAGGGGACAGTTCCCTGTGCCATTCCCCTGGGACCGTCCCTTCCTGCCCCTGTGCCCTGCCCAGCCTCCCCTGCGCCCAAAGGCTCTGGAAACCGCTGAGCCCGAGCTGGAAAAGCTGGCACAGAACCTTCCAGGCTGATTCTGCAGCCAGCAGAGGCACAATCCCCTTCACACCCTCTCTCTTCCCAAAAACCCCACTGAAGTGCCGTGACCCCATCACCAACACGCCTCGAGAGGGTCTGCCCAGACCTCACCAAACTTCACTGAGTTTGAAACCCCAGCCCCTAAATCGCTGCTAACCCAGGCAAATCTCCAAGTTTTGAGTCTGAGCTCCAAACTCAGCTCCTCCTCCTCCTCTCCCACACTTCTCTCCTGCTGCCCTGAGGCTCCTCTGGGGGCTCTTCCTGAGCTCCCCGAGCCCTGCCGAGCCGCGAGCAGAAAACAAAGCAGCCCTAAACAATCATTTGGCCGGCGCCGAGGTTGTTGTTTATCCTGCAGCTCCCCGGGGACCGCCGTGAATCAGAGCCGAGAGAGGAAACAGCTCTGCCAGCCTCCAGCGAGCCTGGGCTGGGCTCGGAGCTGGCAGCCGAGCCTCCGAGCGCTTCCAGGAGCGGCTGCTGGGATCCCTGTGCCGCTGGGGTCCCTGCAGGGCTGGTCCTAAGCCCTGTAGGGCTGGTCCTGAGTCCTGCAGAGCTGGTCCTGAGTCCTGCAGGGCTGGTCCTCAATCCTGCAAAGCTGGTTCTAAGTCCTGCTCTGCCTGCAGCAGCTTGTGTTAGGGAAGGGGCTTGGATCTTGGTGGGATGGGGGAACATCCCTGCACCCCAAGCTATGAGTCTGGGGTTTGATCCCCTTGTCCCATGGTGGGGTGGGGGAATATTCCTGCACCCCAAGCTATGAGTCTGGGATTTGAACAGCATCAAGAGATGAGAATGAGGAGGCAGAGGGCATCATCTCAGCACCATAAAAGCATGGAATTTTTGGGAATTTTTGGAAGGGACTCTAAAGTTCATCTCGTTCCACCCTGTGCCAAGGCAGGGACACCTTCCACTGTGCCAGGGTGCTCCAAGCCCCATCCAGCCTGGCTTGGACACTGCCAGGGACAGGGTCGTGTCCCATTGTGTCCCCAAAGAACGGGACATCTCTCAAAAGCTGCTTTTGACACTGGAAATAAAGGCCGTTGCCCTTGGAGGGCTTGGCCCTGCCATCACCCCTGCTCCCAAATCCATCCCCGGAGCTCCAGGGGACACAGGGCTCATTCCCAGAGCCTGGCTGACCCCTCCGAGCCCCTGTGCCCGGTGTTTGCCGCCAGCCCCGCGGCTCGGGCGGGAATCAATGGCACCACTGTCCCTGGAAATGTCCCCGCTCAGGGGCCTGAATGGGAGAAAGGGCGGCTTTGTGCTCGGCAGAGCTCCGAGCCAGAGGGGAGGGAGCGGGGACATCAAATCAGGGAGAGGGACATCCCGGAGGATGCTGGGGGGAGGGAAGGGGGCAGGGATGAGAGCCGGGAGATGCCCCGGATGCAGTGAAGATGTTATAAATTCATATTATAATATTGGTTTTTCGTAAAAAATTAATGGATTTTATGTGTGGTGCTAAAGTAACTTTGTTGTAAAGATATGGATTTCATTTCTGTTGCTCATTAAGCTCAGTGCAATGGCTGATCCCAGTGTGTTCCAGAGCCTGCTGGGATGGGACAGCACCCAGTGACACAGGGTGAGCACACCTGCACACATCTGCCAGCCAGCAGCACTCACCCTCTGAAGGCAGTGAGGGACAGGCCCAAAACTGCAGGGGATAAAAAGGGACTAAAACCACAACCAAGGAATCCACGTGATCTAAAAAGGTGGAACTGAGGAGAAACCATGCTAAACAATTCTTGGAACATGTAAATGAGTTTGGGGAAAAATTACTATGCATAAGGGTCTATGAATATGCAACAGGCGGATGTAATTAAAGTTATTTAAGGGGTATCCCTGAAGATAACAGGGGGCTCTTGGCTGATGCCACAATAACCTTTGCTCTGTGCTCCTTGTTTCCTACTGTCCTTTATTAAACTTTAAATGTGCACAGGAGTTCACTTGTGTGAATTCTCGTGTTTTTCACAGAGAGAGGGGAGCAATCCTGCTTTGCATCCAACCTTTGGTGACAGAGCAAGCGGCTCCCTGTGGGACCAAGAGCCCCTTGAGAAGCACCAGAGCATCCCAGAGCATCCCAAAGCATTCCAGAGCATCCTGGAGCATCCCAAAGCATCCCAGGGCATCCCAAAGCATCTGAGAGCATCCCAGAGCATCCTGGAACATTCCAGAGCATCCTGGAGCATCTCAGAGCATCCCAGAGCATCCTGGAGCATTCCAAAACATCCCGGAGCCGGCTGTTCCCACCCCCGGAGCAGAGGGGCAGCGTGGGCTGCAACCTCTCCCAGCAAACCCCATCTCAGCCCGCCCGGGGCTGAGTCAGCGCCGCCTTGCCTTCCCTCCCCTCGCCTCTCCTGTCCCGGCTCCAGCATTCCCGGCTGGCAGCGCCTCCCGCAGCCCAGACGCTCCTGAGTCACCGGCTCGCACCGCTCCCGGCTCCGGGGAAAAAAAGGAATTTGTGGGATTAATTTCTTTTCTGACTGCTTCTGATTGCTATGGAGTGATTTATAAATCTGTATTGCCTCACAAGAGACTGAAAATGGAATAAAAGGTTTTGAAACGCCTCCCACTTGCCCCACCTCGAAGTCAGGAAAGGGTTTAATCCAACAGGAATTCTGTGGGGATGCTGTGCTGGGGCAGAGCAGGGTGGAGGGGAGGGCTCCCAAGGGATAAAATCAGGATTTGAAATTAAGCATTTATCTGAAATAAATGGAAGTGGAAGCGGGATGGGAGCAGAACCTGGATTTTGGGAGCTGGGGTGGGCACGAGGCAGATCTTTCATTTCCTGCTCATAAATTCCTGCAAAGTGGGAATAACCTTGGAATGTGAGGTGGGAGAGCAGGGTAGGGAGTGTGACTGCTCCCTAAAATTGTCCACTCCTGGAATTGCCTCTTCCCAGGAATTGCCCTCATCTGGAATTGCCCTCTCTTTGTAATTGCCCCCTCCTGGAATTGCCCTCTCCCCGGAATTGCCCCCTCCTGTAATTGCCCTCTCCTGGAATTCCCTCTCCCTGGAATTCCCTTTCCCTGGAATTGCCCTCTCCTAAAACTGTCCTCTACCTGGAATTTCCCCCTCCTGGAATACCCTGCTCCTGGAATTGCCCCCTCCTGGAATTGCCCTGCTCCTGGAATACCCTGCTCCTGGAATTGCTCCCTCCTGGAATTGCCCCCTTCTGGAATTGCCCTGTGCCTGGAATTGCCCTTTTCTCTGTAATTCCCTCTCCCTGGAATTGCCGTCCCCTGGCACTGCCCACTCCCACACGGCCCCTCGGCTGAGCTGTGCCACCCCGAGCTCTCCTGTCCCTGTCGCAGGATGGGGACAAGCGGCCGAGCCACCAGCACGTGGCAAACCGGGATTGGCACGTGGCAAGCCGGGATTGGCACGGGGCAAACCAGGACTGGCACGAGGAAAAGCGGGATTGGCACGGGCACGGTGCCGAGCGCTGGCAGCCCAGCCGAGCCCCGCAGCCCAGGCGGTCCCCGGGAAGTGTCGCTGTGACGCGTGGCAGCGCTGTCACTCGCGGTGGCCCCGATGGCACTGCCACCTGCTCCGCTGCCCGCGCAGCCTCCAAACATTCCCCGGCTTGGATTCCTTTCCCCACCGCCGTGACACGTTCCCACCTCGATGACAGCGCGTCCGGCTGGGATCGGCGCTGGAGGCAGCAGGAAACTCTGACGGAAAGGCTGGGAATGTGGGAGTGGCCCTGGATGTCACCTGCGCCCGCATCCCGCCTGAGTCAGGGCGAGCGACCCGGGCTCTCCACAGCGATCCTGCCGCTGGGGTAGCAACCGGGAGCGCCTGGATGCTGTGACACCGATCCCTGTCCTGCTTCCAATAC